TGATGTGCTTGAGAAAAAGCTTGATGACAGACATCACATGTATACGGCTTTTCTCCCGTATGTGTTCTTTTATGGGTTTTTAAGGTATGTGCTTGAGAAAAAGCTTGATCACATATATCACATTTATACGGTTGTTCTCTGGTATGCGTCCTCGTATGTTTTGTTAAATCTGATGCTCCTGAAAACCTTATATCGCATATATCACATTTATACGGCTTTTCGCCGGTATGTGTCCTCATATGCCTCGTCAAATGATATGCTTGAGAAAAGGCTTGATCACAGTTACCACATTTGTACGGCTTTTCTCCACTATGTGTTCTTTTGTGCCTTGTAAGATCTATTGTTGTAGAATACCACTTCTCGCAAATATCACATTTATAAGGCTTATTCCCGGTGTGTGTCCTTGTGTGTCTTGTTAAATGATGTGCTTGAGAAAAAGCTTGATCACAGATATCACATATATACGGCTTTACTCCCGTATGTGTCCTTTTATGGATTTTTAAAATACTTGCTTTAGAAAAAGATTGATCACAGATATCACACATGTATGGTTTTTCTCCTGTATGTGTCCTTGTATGAGTTTTTAAATTCGTTTTCTGAGAAAAAGATAGATCACAAATATCACACTTATACGGTTTTTCTCCGGTATGTGTCCTTGTGTGATTTGTTAAATTTGATGATGTAGAAAAGCTTTTATCACAGAGATTACAGTTATGCGTTTTTTTTCCATTATATGTCCTTGTATGCGCAGGTAAATTTGATGTGTTAGACATTTTATCACAGAAATCAGTCAATGAATTTTCCCTTAAGCAGTTAGATGTTTCGTCCGAATTCATACAAGTAATGAATGCTGAAGAGTTGATTTTGTTTAAAACTGTTTCTTAAATTATTAACAGTCATTAATTGAATACTTCAATTTTTATTTTGATATCAATTGTGTTGACTTATTCTTCAGATTTAGTTCTAAAAAAAAAAAAACGAAGCATTTTAAAAATGTTAACCTTTATCATATAAAGGAATATAAATATAACTACATACTAGGTAGATTTTATTAATACATTTGGTCAATACGTATATTATATAAAAAATATATTATATCAAACGAACACATAGACTAAAATTTGTATATTATATAAAAATATTTAATTATATATTATTGTCTAATACCAAACAATATTTATAGTTTTTTTTTTTTGTGTATGTATATACGATAGGTATATACAACAAACCCTGATTCTATCATAGTCCATACTCCATAGATATATAAAAGTGTACTTAAGAAGTTTCAAGTACCCATGAATATTACACAATCACAACAAAATAACAAAAATAGTTATTCTAGGTTTTTTATTATGTAATTTCGTCCAATATGAATTTAAAATGACTATAAAAATAAACTATGCTTATATATTTTTTAGATTCTTTGGTAACAGAATTAACTACGTACGTGGAATCATGTTTTAAATTTTCAATCCTTAGATATAAAAGTTGAACATTTTATAAATTATTAACTACAAAATAATTATTAAATTTTAAATTTGATTAATTTTGTCAAAATTCATTCGAACTTTAAATGCTTATAAAAAAAATTGTGCCTATGTATTTTTAATATTTTTTAACTGATATTGTAACAATATATCAGGAGCCTTGAATTAAATGTTTACACTTTTTGGCCCAACAGAAATAACTTTATTGATATTTATAGAAAAAAAACTAAAAAAATTGAAAACTGTAAATGTCCACACAAAGAGCTCAAAAAGAGTCAAAATATTTTCAAAATTGTATGGTGTATAGGAAATGCTAATAAATGCTAACATTCAGTGAATTTTTCATGTATCTACAGTTATTCGTTTTTGAATTACAACAAAATAAGGAAATCGCTACATGAGAAATCGAGTGAATATCCAATATTGTAAAAATATGAACATCAAACGCTCATAAAAATTTAATTTTATTTGCTTGTATACATTTTTTTTTCGATAAAGACAGAAAAACTTATGAATAATCTTGTATTAAATTTTCAAATCTTAGATTTAAAAAAAAAAAAGATTTAAAAAGAAAATTTTTTATGAATTCTCAACTCAAAATAATTTGCTAATTTTCCATATTTTGTCAATTTTTGAACTTTAAATGCTTATAAAAAAAAAACTGTGACTAAGGATTTTTAATATTTTTCAAATGCCATTGTAACAATATAGTAGGAGCCTTCTATTAAATTTTTAAGCTTTTTTAACCAACAAATAAAATTGTATTGATATTTTTAGAAAAAAAAACTAAAAAAAAATGGAAAATGAAAATGTTCATATGAACTTATTGCTAAGATTATTAAGATTGAAAATTTTCAATTTAGTTGCTTACTTTTGAGATATTAATGACTTTTCAAAGACTTGGTAGTTTTGGTAACAAAATTATTTTGATGACATATTTTGTACGCATTGTTATCATTAGTATCAAAAATTGTTCATTATCATAATGCTATGGAGTTAGAATTGATTAAATTAATTTGGATAAAATCATGTCAAAGTTATGCTGATAAATATTCAAAATAATGAGATTGGGCTACTTCATAACTGCTGGTTCACTTCACCCCGTTCTACGGTATTTGCTCACTAGGAATTGATCGCGCAATCATCAGTAGAGTTGTTCTTCATGGTTCCATATTGAATTATGTCCTCTTCATTGTTTGTTTTTCAATGAACTGTGAACATAAACATTACAATTAGGATGGGACCTTAAATTTAAAACCTTTCATTTGGTCATATGCAGGGTTTGTAGGGTGTACATTTGCCATTTGCACATATTTTTTTGTAAAACTTTTCTTTTAGACTGCCATAAATAAAATGAAAACACTGATAGGTATGTATTTAATACCAAATATTGAGTCAGTATTTAGTGTTTAGTATTCTTTTTACTTTTTAAATATATTTTCACCATGTTTCTACAATTTACCAGCCACCAATGATAAATTTATAATGGTAATAAAGTATATTATAAAGAATAAATTATAATAAAAAATAGGATTCCTAATTAATCATCTCATTCCATACGTACCTTTTTCTGTAACTTAGCTATGTTGGCTCTATTAGTTTTCTATGCTTTTATCATAATATATAGACCTATAAACTAATAAATTAATGGACAGCGCATTCCACATCCACTCCGCCAGTCAAACAATAAGCCCTGCAATCAATGATATGGCCTATGGAATCATCTTATACTTAAGATCATGTACTGTCACGATTTAAGATAGTTATGAATCATAATAGGGAATCATAATAGCACAGAATTTTTATTATTCTGTGATAATAGAATAGACAATAATAGCATATAATAATATTATTCTATGATACCAGTATACCACGTTGATGTGTAGGCTGCAGAGATTACTCACGCTGATAACATTTATCATCATTCGCAAGGTGGATCCACCTTGATCATTCGACATTCGCGCAATCCGCTGTCCGGATAATAATCTGCACTGTTGAGTGTCGGCGAATAAACTGTCTTGTGTTGATCATCCAAGTTATTAAATAATAATTAATAATTATTATTATGCTGTTTATTATAGAGAGTTGATCGTGTAAAAGTGTAATTCCATTATTCGGTATTCCTCTGTCCTCACTCATCTGCTAAGCGTGAGCATAATATAACTAACTTTAGCTTATGTTAATCTGTTTCATTACTAACGTTACTATTGTTTTTCATAAATCGTAATATTAAAGTATACCGCCGACAGCCCAATTATGAGCATTTTCAGAAACGTCGAGGAAGCACAGCAAATCGAAGTGTTCCATCTAGTGAAAGTCTTTAATGAAGACGACAATCCATCAAAAGTAAACTTGACCATTAGAGGTATGTACATTTTTTAATTTTGATTTCTGGCTAGGTACAGCAAAAAAATTGTAAATTGTATCGACAATTTTTTTATCTTCATTGATTTTTAGAGTATAGGACAGATGGAGGCAAACCATATTATATTCCTGTTGTGAAAAAAGCTGAGAGTGTGGTAGGTACTTGATGGTACATTGAATCAAAAGTATTTGCCAATAATGGGCTTGGAATCTTACTAAAGCTGCATCACAACTACTATTGCAGGGCGATATCACTGAACGACAAGAAGAAGGAACCGTAATAATTTATTTTTTTCTTATTTTTCTTTTGAAAACATCTATATTATAATAGTTCTATATTTACTATAGAAAGCTAGAGCAAAAAATCAACTCCTATTAACTAATATAATATTATGTGTATCGAAAGATATTTTATCCCAAATGAAACTAAACAAAACAAAAACTTTATTATAAAAATTTCCAATTACTTTGAACAGTTTGAACATATATTATCTGGATTATTTTATTTCAATTATAAAATGAACTGTTATACTATCTGTTCAGTGGTTATACTACCCATAACACATTTACAATAACTATAATTATGTAACTGGTTTCATATTTTAATTGGAAGTGGCTATTTCCGCGTCCGACGCGTATTTACCTATTTTCGCGTCCTATGCTGTGATTGGTCCAAATATTGATAATATTTTATCATTTTTATCATCTGATTTTTACCGCCTTAATTTAAATTTCAGATGAATTATTATTTAATATGCACTGGATGACTTCCCCCTCCCGCTAATCATCCCCATTCCATTTACTTATTGTAATACATTGTAAAATTATTTATAAGATGTACATCTTTAACCGGATATATTCCTCAGTGGATAATCCCACAGATAAGAAAATACTCTCCAATAGACATATAGTCTGTTCTATTATATTTGAGAGAAGTTATGTGTCAATCATATATAACCGGGTACATTCCTCAGTGGATAATCCCACAGATAACAAAAATTATTCTTGTAAAAATTATTCTCCTATTTTCAAGACAATATAGACATATAGTCTGTTGACTGTTATTTGCTGTCTATTTGAGTGTAACAGTTTGAGTGAAGTGAATCATATTTTAAATTTTTCTTTTGTGAATATAATATTATAATAGCTATGGCAGAAGCAACTCAAACATTAAAAAAAGGTGATGAGTTCTGTAGTTTGGTTAGGTTAGAGGAGGCCATTAAAAGATTTGAAGACAGTGAAAACTGCAATCTATCAAAATTTAACACAAGGACAATCGAAGGTGGCAAACGTAAAGGATTAAAGAGGCATTTAAATCCAGAATTGGAATATGCTTGCTTAAATTATATGTGTGTTCAGGGAGGTGAATATACAAGTAGATCTAATGGGATAGGTCCAAACTGGACCAATATTAAATGCATTATGGCCGACAAAGACTTCACAGAGAGAAATGTTTTTAGGGAACAGTTTCCCCAATCTAAAATATTAATTTGTATATTCCATTGTATGAGAACATTTTCACGGGAAATAACTACAGACAAAATGAATATAACTGCAGGTTTTACTTTAAATATAATGTACAATATAGTATGCATGCATTTTGATTTGGTTTTATTATTTTAGGACAAAGAAACCTTTGCCTACAATTGGCACAAGAAATGGTATATGCCAAAAATGAAGACGATTACAGTAGAATTCATGGTCAATTAAAAGACACAAAAATTACAAGCGTGGTAAAGTATTTCGAAAAAAATTGGCATACAATTAAAAAAGAATGGGTTGTATATTTTCAGTCAAAATATATGACATTAGGTATTTAACTCAAGTCAAAAGTGTTTGAATTTTATAATTATGAATTATTTATGATTTATTTATGCATACTTAGGAAACAGAACTAATAATCGTTTAGAGAGTACAATCCAAAAAATTACCCAAGTTGTAACAAAATTGTGTAGACTTGATCAATTATTTGAAGGTAAATTTAATTTAACTAAATATTACTAGTTATACTTACTTAAAATACATTTGCAGGGTTGGAAATGTTAATGGTCACTTTGAGGACAGAGAGAGATCATGCTGCTACAGAATGTTTTTGTAAGACACCGAGTTTTGTTTCAAAGTTGACCTACGAACAGCAACAAATGTTTTGGCATTTGACTCCATTTGCTTTTGACCTAATATTGCCAAAATTTGATTTAATGAACCACGTACAAATAGTGTCTGTCGATAATCTAAACCAAACGGTCAAAATTAAATCGAGAGAAGGGGTAATTGAAGTTTCCGACAACAAATATGTTTGTTCATTTGTAACAAGTTTGTGTTTACCTTGCCATCACATATTAAAGTTAGGCAAATAAACAATTTGTCATTATATTGTCCAGAATTGTGTGCAGAAAGATGGTCGAGGAAGTATTATAGTACGGTGAGTAGAGTAATTCCTTCGAGTTTTGAATTAGATGTTGAAAGATCCGGTAAATGTTACAACCGTACAACCTATGAAACCAAAGCGCATTTTAAACCAACATGAAAAGTATAAGAGAGCACATGTTGAGGCTAAGAGGCTTGCTTCTCTAACGTCAGAAGCAACAGGAAAAGAATACCTGCACAGATTAAACATTCTAAAATATATAGCAGAAAAGTGGGAGAATGAAAATACCATTAAACTTGAGGACATAGGTATATTGACCCAATAAAATAAGTAGGTCTCTACATATCAAATTTAACAATTAAATAATTATACCTTAGATAACTTACTGAAACAAACAGAAGAAAATTATGAATTTGCCAATGACGATATAATACAGATGGATGACAATTGAATACAGATGGATGACAATTTAATACAGATGGATGACAATTTAATACAGATGGATGACAATATAATACAGATGGATGACGATATATTACACATGAATGAAGAGGAAACAGACAACATAGATATAGATAATATTTCAATAGTTAGTCAATTACCAACTTTACCTCCAAGAGTTCCAAAAAGAGGACGTCCAAAAGGTGATTGTATATTCCATATATTTTCAAATGATTATCGTTGATGAAATTTATTTTCATACTTTATATTTTAGGTAAAGACAAAACTGCTATTGGTATCTCAAGACGAAAAAAGGTTTCAGGTTTAGTTCCTTTTGAAAAACTTGATGTTTTGACGAGACATTTTGAAATGTTAATTTGGTTTGTGGATAAGGATGTGGCCAGTATTGCGGTATCTGGAAATGGATTTATAAGTGAAACAGCAATTGAAAATAATCCAAATAATATACATTGTGCTGTTTTAGACAGTAACCTTGCGATTGATGATATCAAAAGGTATTTTGACAGCGACGGCTGGGCTGCTCTCCAACAAGTTGTGGATATAAAGCGAATAAATCCAACAAATAGCCACTTCCATTTTAATTTATAACTTATAACTTAGAAGATATAGTTTGAATGTAAAACAAATTTTTGTTCTTAAGTTTTGGGACATGTTTTACCCAGATCATATCCATTTTGTTATATTGTATTATAATATTTTAATTATAAAAATAAAATATAACATAATTTCCAAAGTGAAAAATATGTATAATTATTAATTTAAAAAAATATATATTATATAACTTCTTAATCAAAAAAGAGGGAAAGTATATAACCGCTCTGCACTCTGCAGTTAGTGTCAAGAGTGTACCTCAACATTGAGTAAGTCACTGAATTGTATGTGTGCAATTTGAGTTCAATGATGAATGTTACTATTAGTAATACAAATTAAATACAATGCATTTTATCTCTATATATAAAAATGGATCCATGTTTCCTTTGGTCATCGGGATAGCTGGACTGATTTCGCTAATTCTTTTTTTGTTGTGTTCGAAATTTGTCAGGAAACGGTTCTTATGTAATACAATTTTAGGAAAATCCACGGGAAAAGTACGAAATCTGGATGTAAAAAACAACAACACTGATGACACTGTCCAGCAAGAAAATAAACTATATTTTTGTGTATTGTAAGGTCGCTTATTGAATATAATAGTTGTAGACCTGTTGTTATATTTTGTCAAAACCACAACAAAAATAAGAATTAGCAAAATCAGTTCTAAACAAAAATGTCCACCTTAAATCTCAAAATCACAGCAATAGACTAACATAAACGTTAGTAACATAACGAGTGACATACTTGGTTATAAAGAAGAAAAAAATTATAGTTTTCCTTAATTTACAGTTGAATTTTTGTTTTTGAAAATGCCAGCAATTAGACATACAAACTTAAGTTGCAGAACTCACAATGCTGCGAGTCAAAAATATACAAGAGCAAGTCAAACTGACGAGCAACATGAAGCGCGGAATGAAGTTGAACAGAATCGATAGAATCAAAATCAACAAGTAACAACATAGAAATGTTGCGTTTAACCCCTATCTAGCTGCATTCAAGTATAGCGTGGAAATCGATTGCAAATCGTTGCTATTGGGACAATGAACATTGTGTGCCAATATGGGATTCTTAGAGAATGACACTCATTGGTACCACACTCTCGAAGATGCTGTGATTGGCCACATTTAATTCCCATGTACCTATGTAAAACTGTCAGTGCGCTTTTCAATACCTTTAACCAAAAAATATAACTATTTAATTTCACTGAACCAAATATAGTAAATTTACAAAAATCATAACTACCTACTCTACTACAAATTATTAATTAGCTATTAAATAAAATACTTTCCTAGGATTTTAGTACCACAAAATATCACATAGAAACGAGCAACACATAACATTTAATTAAACCTCCAAATCTTGACTATTTTTATTTATTCCTTCTGTTGGAAATTTTCTATTGAGGGTGTAAAATAAATTATTCATAAAAATAGTAAAATTTATTGTTTCCTCACAATCATTGAACCCTGGGTATGATTTAGTATTAAAAAATCTTATACAATCTGCTACTGATTTGCTGAAAATCTGTTAAATAAAATATAATTTACACAATATTAAATAACTTTTTTTATTGTATTTTTCATTAGGAGTTATTTGATCTTACTTGTGAAGCAAACTTCACTTTCATCTTTGAGAAACTGTTAAGTAGGAAGTGATTTCTGGTGAGTCTTGGACAAATTCTTGTTAAAGACTTAGAATCAGTTTCATCAAGGTGCTCATAAAAAATAATAAATTGCCCATTTAATTGGAGGTTCTGTTGGACCAATCTAATCGACAAGTAATGTTAATATAATAGGTATATATAATTATTTAAGTTGTATTAATTACTAATATTCTTTCAAATATTGTACTATTAAATCAAATTAATAATTATATATTCATTGCTAAATTAAAGTATTTCATGAATAATATGTTAAATTATCAATCTTAATGTTTTTTAGTGTGCAACCAGTTTTTGACAGTTTTCAGCAAATGTGGCGCATCAGAGAATACAAACACTTGGCGATTGTTGTCAAATGGATTGGTAAATTAATTTTGTATTTCATCTGATTGTGCACAAATTCCTAACGTATGCCACATTGTACGATTAGTTGATGCGCCATCGCTTGTTATGGCTAGCACTTGAACCCCAGAATTTTCCAACAATAGAATCGCCTTCAGCACAATTTTAGTTAGATCAGTACCTATTTAATTTCAACAATTAAATGTAACTTATTGTACTATATAATAGTTAATACACTCTTCACTTAAATGTACCTTTAACTGGTCTTTTTGAGGCAAAGACAGCGATTGGCTGATGAAACTTCTCAGATAATCCTTGAATCATCAAAACTAATGTGTGATTAGCTTTATCTTTACTATTAGTATTGAACTCATCTCAGGGGTGCCTGCAGAGAGGAGCCAGTGGGTGCCATTGCACCCACTGGGATTTTTTTAACGAACAAAAAAATCAGAGTAAAATAATGTAAATATGTGACGTATCTATGTATGTATAACATGAATTTAATTTTGCACCCACTGAGTAGATTTTCTGCGGGCGCCCCTGACTCATCTCCATAATCTTCCAAACCATGGTTTGTTAGGTTTCTAGTGTTAACAGATATACTCTCTCTCAAAGAAATTTCATCAAACACTAATACAACTTTGTTTTGATTTTCTATTTTATTCACAATTTTTTTTTTTTTTAATAGTTTGAAAAATTATTGTCAAAACCACATCCAATCTGAACTGCTGACAAGTGATGTCTTAATGTTGTTACACATGGCAGTGGCAAGATATTTTGTCCACGAAGAAATGAATAATGGAGATCTATGAAGTATTCCAGTATTTGTAAATTATTAAAAAACTTGAACATTATACTATTTACTTACCTTATTTGAAACATTAGGCATAATAACATCCAGTTTTCATTATAGCGTCTACTTTTAGAATTTTTAAATTTTGTTGCCGCAAATATTTCTTTAATTAGTTCTGATTGACCCTGAGAAACGTTTGAATTATTTAAAATGTAAATATATTTATTTCAGTATTGTGAGTTAAAACTATGCATATATTTCATTATTCTAATTGTATAAACTGCTTAATAATTTACCTATCATCTTTAATTATACTTGAACACAATACATGTCTCCATTGACCACATGATTCAATGTATTGAGGACCATATGAAGCCTTTATATCTTGATTGTCAGTAGAAGAAAAAGCTCCTTGACAACATTTAATTTTATCAAATTCATTGAAAAGTGACTGAAATTCTATTAATTTTTTTTGTTGACTGTTTTTCAACCCAATTTCATGGGGTGTTACAATTTTATTAGAATCTAAAAAATATTACATTTAAATATAATTAATTATTTAATACTGTTTCTTTTTAATACTGATATAATAAATAGCAATATACAATTTTTAATAATGAGTTGCTTTTCAATATATCTAGAATAATTGCTTTTGAAAGTACTCAGAGTGTGAACAGCAATATCAATTTGAGTTATTTCATTACTATGAAACCAGCTATTTGGTACATCTATCATTTGTCTGTTGCTTAAAACCAATTGGTATAATGAAGTTAAAGGGTTTCATCGTCAATCTGCTTAAATAATAAAGTAATTGAACAATGAACAATTTTATTCTATTTTAATTTGTAATCTGTTTTTGAAGTTTACCTTACTTTTTTAGATTCTGGTGGAAGCAATGCATTACTAGGTATAAATGGTTCAATAAATGTCTGTATACAGTTTGAGACGTTAGAGTTACCAAAATTAATTTGTTTATTAATATTTAAGCTTGGGGTGAGACCTAGTGGTAATGCCATGTTGTCATTACAAATATTAATATTATCATGGTTAATGTTTTTTTGGATCGCACCCTTTTTAAGTTGCAATCTTTTTCCAGTGTTTGTCATATTTAACTGATGTCGCGTTGAAAGAAAGTGAATGTCGCGTTTATCTTTAAATTTTGATACTACAATACCAGATTCATTTTCAAGACCGACAAATTCCCCTTTTTTCAATTTTTTTTCTATTATTGTTTTTGGTAAAAAACGTCTATTTTTTCTAAGAGTACCAACCAAATGAGTGTCTTGCCGTAAAAGAGTTTCCGCTAGTGGAACAGACGTATAAAAATTATCAGTTACAATAGTACGCCCTTCGTTCAGATAATGTTCACACAAAGAAGTTACTATTGTTTCACTCAACGCTTCTCCGGGTTTAGATTGTAATAATAAAATTCAGAACTTGATAACCACGAGAAGTTCACACTTCTGGTTCAAGAAGAATACTAAAAGATAATTGACGTATAAATGTGTAAAATAAATATTACTATAATCTTAACCAATAAAAAACAATGTATGGTATCTAATCTAGCACGAGACAGCGGGCGACCAAGTGGCTTGTACGAAATATTACATTTTTGGCAGGCCACTTGCCAGCCGGCGACCCAAGACTTTTTTTTTTTTCATGATATTATCTACGAATAACTGATTCTAAAAATATCAATTTTATTAAAATCTAATAACTGGAGCTATTTTTATAAATGTGAGCATTTACGATATGCAATGTAAAAATAGTATGGCCCGACACACGCTGATACGACTTGGGTCGCCGGCGGGCTTGTGGCAGTCAACGTGTTAAACACACCTAACAAAATGTAGAAAAGAGTAATTATACTAAAACTTACCATTGTTTATAAAAAAATATATTTACAGTATATTTACTAGATCCTTGACCCAGTGGTGTATATAGGGGGGAGGCCCCCTAGGCCAGAGCCCATAGTGAAATTGCAGGTTGAATTAAAGCATTGCATGTATATTTTCACGGTTAAAAGTTTTTCACTATGATTAAGTTAGCCGGTTGATTAAAATCGTTTTTGAGGAATCAAAAATTAAATGTTAGATTGTCAGGACTTGCTTTGATAATTTATTGACTTTGATGTTAAATTCATAGTAAGATAACATTAAAATATATAAATGGCACTGTCAATATTTTTTAAAAAAGAATCAA